TTTGCATTTCCTTCCTCTCCACTTCACCCAAAAGGCTCTCTATGATTTCCCATATTTTTGTCTCTCTGCAAGTTTTCTCACCCACTTCTCCTCCTTGTAGACGCATTGTGGCTTTCAGACCAAGGGCTTCCGACTCTTGGTTGGGAAGAGAATTTGGAACAAGGGACACAGAGCACTCATCAGTAGCCAAAACTGAATTGACAGAGTTGAAGGATTTACCTGAGGTAGAGATGTGAGGAGAGAGCATAGGCAAAGGAGTGGTAGTCACTTTCTTTTTTGAGAAATTAGAGCACTCTGTCTCCCCGAGTTGGGGGAAGAAAATCCCTGTCGCTGTATCAACACAAAGACCCTTTTCTGTACCCAAGTATGTACCTCTCTGTGAGGTACCCTTGTTCAGCTCTGAGAAGACCTGAGCTACCTCCTTTTCGGCCTCTTGCAAAGCGCTAGAACTAGGGAAGGGCTCAACCAAATTTGGGTTAAGATCATTCACCCGCTCCTCCCCCTCCTTTCCCTCCCCCACCGAATCCCCTATGAACAAACAATCCAGGCTGAAACAATCCCTGTTCTGTTCTTCAGATAGAGCTTCGTCTGCCGCACTACCTAAACTCCCATAGGCTTCCGATCTTTCATCATAGTCAGAATCTGAGCCACAACTTATCCAACCTTGGTTAGCTTCTTCCTTCTCTTCTGTTCTAACTCTCAAATAGTGCGGGTTCGGGCGATCAGGAACGTTGTGTTTTTGCGCGTTGCCGGCTGGCTGTCGGACCCAGCACAGAGGACGGCGTCCTTCTGCCTTGCTTGCCATCTAAGCCCCTCCACAGTCGAGAGGGCGAGACCTAGACGATGATAGATGAATGTTGCCATCTATCATTGCCCCATGCCTGCCCCGCCCCACGTGATGACTTAAGTTGTCACGTGGGCTTTTAAAAAAACCACCCGATGCTTGCCCCGCCCCACGTGAAGGCTCACCCATTGACCCGTCCGGCCCAGCCTTCCTTAAAGCCGGTTCAGACAATGACTTTGAGCACACCCGAACCCTACCCCTTTTAGCCACGTCAGCATAGGACGGGCCACCCTCTTTAAATAACCCAACTTCAAAAAAATTTGAATTAGAAGACTTAATAAATAGGAAAGCTTTGAGACTTGGGGCACCCCTGCGACTGTTCCCCTTCCTTTGTAGTTCGCCCACACGCACCAGGCTTTCCCGCCAGCCCCTGAAGGCCACGTGTACACCAACCTGCAGACTCGTCAGCTCCTTCAACCTCTGCTCGTCTTCCCCAGAGCGAGGCTTCATCTTCTGAAGCTAACTAGACCTTGTACCAGGCATCTTCTGAGAGAACTTCGAAGGCGCGCGGCAAGTACTCCGGCTTGATCCCAGCAACCTTAAGTTCCACAGCTCTCAAGTTTCTTAAGTTAAACCTCCAACAGAACTCCACCCAACGCTCTGACAATTTTCCTTAGTATTTGATCATTCCAAAGGTTGAAAGGAAGACCGAGAAGTTTGATCAAGAA